AAAAACTTATCAAAGTTTGTAATGAATAGTCCCACGTAAAGGTAAAAGGAAATTCTTTAGGGTTCGAAGTAAGGTCAAATCTTCATATAGGATTCAATGGAGCATATGTGGAGAAAAGAAGAAACAGGACTCCAATGGTACAGTATGTAAATACGTTGAAAATGAGACAATAAGATAGGTCTTACTCACAATTTTCAGAGCTGAGGATCCAGCTCTGATGTTAAGCACGTGAAGTGGAATAATCCCCACTCAAGGATATATGGAGTAGACTTCAAATGGCGATTCTCTGGTACTTATTCAACGTCCAAAGTACGGACCCAAAAGGAGAAAATAAAATATATAGTGCTCTCTGTTATGACAGTAGAATATTGAAATTGTAAATTGAATATTACTCACATTCTTTTCACATTCACTCAAAAGAATGTGAGTAATATTCAATTTACAATTTCAATATTCTACTGTCATAACAGAGAGCACTATATATTTTATTTTCTCCTTTTGGGTCCGTACTTTGGACGTTGAATAAGTACCAGAGAATCGCCATTTGAAGTCTACTCCATATATCCTTGAGTGGGGATTATTCCACTTCACGTGCTTAACATCAGAGCTGGATCCTCAGCTCTGAAAATTGTGAGTAAGACCTATCTTATTGTCTCATTTTCAACGTATTTACATACTGTACCATTGGAGTCCTGTTTCTTCTTTTCTCCACATATGCTCCATTGAATCCTATATGAAGATTTGACCTTACTTCGAACCCTAAAGAATTTCCTTTTACCTTTACATGGGACTATTCATTACAAACTTTGATAAGTTTTTGAACTATTTTTGTTTTTATATTTTATACACTATTTTATTACGCATTTTATATATTTTAGTATATTTTTAGGCGCATTCTTACTGTACTGTTTGTTCTGTGTTCTTCCAATCATTGGGGAATTGTAGGGGATTCCCTTTATAGGAGTGCAGCCTTCATATATTGTGGCTATTTAGCGCTGATTTTTTTTCTGTTTTTCCCATGTGTATCAGTGAGCTTGTCTATAGTAAGCATGTGTGTGTGTCAGTGAGCTTGTCTGTAGTGAGCATGTATGTCAGCGAGCTTGTCTGTAGAAAGCATGTGTGTCAGTGAGCTTGTCTGTAGTAAGCATGTGTGTCAGTGAGTTTGTCTGTAGTGAGCATGTGTGTCAGTGAGCTTGTCTGTAGTAAGCATATGTATGTGTGTCAGTGAGCTTGTCTGTAGTAAGCATTTGTATGTGTGTCAGTGAGCTTGTCTGTAGTGAACATGTATGTCAGTGAGCTTGTCTATAGTAAGCATATGTATGTGTGTCACTGAGCTTGTCTGTAGTGAGCATGTTTGTCCGTGAGCTTCTCTGTAGTAAGCATGTGTTTCAGTGAGTTTGTCTATAGTGAGCATGTGTGGTGTGTCAGTGAGCTTGTCTGTAGTAAACATGTGTGTGTGTCAGTGAGCTTGTCTGTAGTGAGCATGTGTGTCAGTGAGTTTGTCTGTAGTGAACATGTGTGTCAGTGAGCTTGTCTGTAGGGAGCATGTGTGCCAGTGAGCATGTGTGTCAGTGAGTTTGTCTATAGTGAGCATGTGTGGTGTGTCAGTGAGCTTGTCTGTAGTAAGCATTTGTGTCAGTGAGTTTGTCTGTAGTGAGCATGTGCATGTGTGCCAGTGAGTTTGTCTGTAGTGAGCATGTGTGTCAGTGAGCTTGTCTGTAGTAAGCATATGTATGTGTGTCAGTGAGCTTGTCTGTAGTGAGCATGTTTGTCAGTGAGCTTGTCTATCGTAAGCATGTGTGTGTGTCAGTGAGCTTGTCTGTAGTGAGCATGTATGTCAGCGAGCTTGTCTGTAGAAAGCATGTGTGTCAGTGAGCTTGTCTGTAGTAAGCATGTGTGTCAGTGAGTTTGTCTGTAGTGAGCATGTGTGTCAGTGAGCTTGTCTGTAGTAAGCATATGTATGTGTGTCAGTGAGCTTGTCTGTAGTAAGCATTTGTATGTGTGTCAGTGAGCTTGTCTGTAGTGAACATGTATGTCAGTGAGCTTGTCTATAGTAAGCATATGTATGTGTGTCACTGAGCTTGTCTGTAGTGAGCATGTTTGTCCGTGAGCTTCTCTGTAGTAAGCATGTGTTTCAGTGAGTTTGTCTATAGTGAGCATGTGTGGTGTGTCAGTGAGCTTGTCTGTAGTAAACATGTGTGTGTGTCAGTGAGCTTGTCTGTAGTGAGCATGTGTGTCAGTGAGTTTGTCTGTAGTGAACATGTGTGTCAGTGAGCTTGTCTGTAGGGAGCATGTGTGCCAGTGAGCATGTGTGTCAGTGAGTTTGTCTATAGTGAGCATGTGTGGTGTGTCAGTGAGCTTGTCTGTAGTAAGCATTTGTGTCAGTGAGTTTGTCTGTAGTGAGCATGTGCATGTGTGCCAGTGAGTTTGTCTGTAGTGAGCATGTGTGTCAGTGAGCTTGTCTGTAGTAAGCATATGTATGTGTGTCAGTGAGCTTGTCTGTAGTGAGCATGTTTGTCAGTGAGCTTGTCTGTAGTAAGCATATGTATGTGTGTCAGTGAGCTTGTCTGTAATGAGCTTGTGTCAGGGAGCTTGTCTGTAGTGAACATGTGTATGTGTCAGTGAGCTTGTCTGTAGTGAGCATGTTTGTCAGTGAGCTTGTCTGTAGTAAGCATGTGTATGTGTCAGTGAGCTTGTCTGTAATGAGTGTGTGTCAGTGAATTTGTCTGTAGTGAACATGTGTGTCAGTGAGCTTGTCTGTAGTGAGCATGTGTGTCAGTGAGTTTGTCTATAGTGAGCATGTGTGGTGTGTCAGTGAGCTTGTCTGTAGTGAGCATGTGTCAGTGAGCTTGTCTGTAGTAAGCATGTGTCAGTGAGTTTGTCTGTTGTGAGCATGTGTATGTGTGCCAGTGAGCATGTGCGTGTCAGTGAGTTTGTCTGTAGTGAGCATGTGTGTCAGTGAGCTTGTCTGTAGTAAGCATATGTATGTGTGTCAGTGAGCTTGTCTGTAGTGAGCATGTTTGTCAGTGAGCTTGTCTGTAGTAAGCATATGTATGTGTGTCAGTGAGCTTGTCTGTAATGAGCTTGTGTCAGGGAGCTTGTCTGTAGTGAACATGTGTGTCAGTGAGCTTGTCTGTAGTAAGTATATGTATGTGTGTCAGTGAGCTTGTCTGTAGTGAGCATGTTTGTCAGTGAGCTTGTCTGTAGTAAGCATGTGTATGTGTCAGTGAGCTTGTCTGTAATGAGTGTGTGTCAGTGAATTTGTCTGTAGTGAACATGTGTGTCAGTGAGCTTGTCTGTAGTGAGCATGTGTGTCAGTGAGTTTGTCTATAGTGAGCATGTGTGGTGTGTCAGTGAGCTTGTCTGTAGTGAGCATGTGTCAGTGAGCTTGTCTGTAGTAAGCATGTGTCAGTGAGTTTGTCTGTTGTGAGCATGTGTATGTGTGCCAGTGAGCATGTGTGTCAGTGAGTTTGTCTGTAGTGAGCATGTGTGTCAGTGAGCTTGTCTGTAGTAAGCATATGTATGTGTGTCAGTGAGCTTGTCTGTAGTGAGCATGTTTGTCAGTGAGCTTGTCTGTAGTAAGCATATGTATGTGTGTCAGTGAGCTTGTCTGTAGTGAGCATGTGTGTCAGTGAGTTTGTCTATAGTGAGCATGTGTGGTGTGTCAGTGAGCTTGTCTGTAGTGAGCATGTGTCAGTGAGCTTGTCTGTAGTAAGCATGTGTCAGTGAGTTTGTCTGTTGTGAGCATGTGTATGTGTGCCAGTGAGCATGTGTGTCAGTGAGTTTGTCTGTAGTGAGCATGTGTGTCAGTGAGCTTGTCTGTAGTAAGCATATGTATGTGTGTCAGTGAGCTTGTCTGTAGTGAGCATGTTTGTCAGTGAGCTTGTCTGTAGTAAGCATATGTATGTGTGTCAGTGAGCTTGTCTGTAATGAGCTTGTGTCAGGGAGCTTGTCTGTAGTAAGCATGTTTGTCAGTGAGCTTGTCTGTAGTAAGCATATGTATGTGTCAGTGAGCTTGTCTGTAGTCAGCTTGTCTGTAGTGAGCATGTGTATGTGTCAGTGAGCTTGTCTGTAATGAGCTTGTGTATCAGTGAGTTTGTCTGTAGTAAGCATATGTATGTGTGTCAGTGAGCTTGTCTGTAGTGAGCATGTTTGTCAGTGAGCTTGTCTGTAGTAAGCATATGTATGTGTGTCAGTGAGCTTGTCTGTAATGAGCTTGTGTCAGGGAGCTTGTCTGTAGTAAGCATGTTTGTCAGTGAGCTTGTCTGTAGTAAGCATATGTATGTGTCAGTGAGCTTGTCTGTAGTCAGCTTGTCTGTAGTGAGCATGTGTATGTGTCAGTGAGCTTGTCTGTAATGAGCTTGTGTATCAGTGAGTTTGTCTATAGTGAGCATGTGTGGTGTGTCAGTGAGCTTGTCTGTAGTGAGCATGTGTCAGTGAGCTTGTCTGTAGTAAGCATGTGTCAGTGAGTTTGTCTGTAGTGAGCATGTGTATGTGTGCCAGTGAGTTTGTCTGTAGTGAGCATGTGTCAGTGAGCTTGTCTGTAGTAAGCATATGTATGTGTGTCAGTGAGCTTGTCTGTAGTAAACATGTTTGTCAGTGAGCTTGTCTGTAGTAAGCATATGTATGTGTGTCAGTGAGCTTGTCTGTAATGAGCTTGTGTCAGTGAGCTTGTCTGTAGTGAACATGTGTGTCAGTGAGCTTGTGGAATGACTTTTTTCCAGGGCTGCTGTGTATCCCCATTCTGGCCCTGTGCTTCAGGCTGTGCATGGCGATGCTGAACATTTTAGGTAATGTTCTCCTTGTGAAGTGCCTCTAGTGTCTGTCTGACTGATAAATGGTGTGATTGACAGCCCTAGAGGCAGACAGACTGAGAAACGTAAACAGCAATGTTGACAAAACCACTTCGCTGTTCTGGTGTTGATGTTTACAGTGTCCCCCCCAGCTGATTAATTACACCGGTTACAGGGCATCACTCTTCCTCCACTGGCCAGCAGCATGGAGAGGTGCCCTGGGTAAGACTGCAGTGAGCTGCCCTGGGTGTGGTTGCTGCAGATCAGGGAGGGCAGGTCTGGCTGACGGGAAGCCCAGCCTGGAAGGGCCCCTCCTCCTCCTCCAGCCTTCCTCCCTCTCCTCTAACAGCCATCACAGCTCCCGAACCCTGTGCACAGCGGCTGATACTTTGTATCCGGCAGAGGAATGGCTGCAGCACTCAAGGAGAGGTTCGAGAACTTCCTGCATGAGAAGAATTTCTTCACCGACCTCCTGGCCAAGATCGAAGCCAAGACTGGGGTGAACAGGCGCTACCTGGCATTGGGTGAGACCAGACCCAGATCGGCAGGGCAGGGGTTAATTACCAGACAGCTGCTAGACCGGCAGGGCACGGGTTAATTACCAGACAGCTGCTAGATCGGCAGGGCAGGGGTTAATTACCAGACAGCTGCTAGACCGGCAGGGCAGGGGTTAATTACCAGACAGCTGCTAGATCGGCAGTGCAGGGGTTAATTACCAGACAGCTGCTAGACCGGCAGGGCAGGGGTTAATTACCAGACAGTTGCTAGACCGACAGTGCAGGGGTTAATCACCAGACAGCTGCTAGATCGGCAGGGCAGGGGTTAATTACCAGCCAGCTGCTAGACCGGCAGGGCAGGGGTTAATTACCAGCCAGCTGCTAGACCGGCAGGGCAGGGGTTAATTACCAGCCCGCTGCTAGACCGGCAGGGCAGGGGTTAATTACCAGCCAGCTGCTAGACAGGCAGGGGTTAATTACCAGACAGCTGCTAGACTGGCAGGGGTTAATTACCAGACAGCTGCTAGACCGGCAGGGGTTAATTACCAGACAGCTGCTAGATCGGCCGGGCAGGGGTTAATTACAGACAGCTGCTAGACCGGCAGGGCAGGGGTTAATTACCAGACAGCTGCTAGACCGGCCGGGCAGGGGTTAATTACCAGACAGCTGCTAGACGGGCGGTGCAGGGGTTAATTACCAGACAGCTGCTAGACGGGCGGTGCAGGGGTTAATTACCAGACAGCTGCTAGACCGGCAGGGCAGGAGTTAATTACCAGACAGCTGCTAGACCATACCCTTAATATACAGTTAGCCAGTGTTACAGGATGAGTATTGCTTTATTCGTTTTATCTTTAATTCTGCAAGTTAATTTTTAATATTGATCCCATTTTACAGCAAATAAATCCAGATATGATTAACCTTAACGTGACATCTAGCTTGAGCAGTTTGAAGACTTAATGTATCCTTGGAATGAACAGCTAGCTCCAGCAGGTTAAAGGGTTAATATGGCCCTGCCAGATATCTCTGATACTGAACCAGGTTAATGTGGCCCTGCCAGGTATCTCTGGCACTGACCAGGTTAATGTGGCCCTGCCAGGTATCTCTGGCACTGACCAGGTTAATGTGGCCCTGCCAGGTATCTCTGGCACTGACCAGGTTAATGTGGCCCTGCAAGGTATCTCTGGCACTGACCAGGTTAATGTGGCCCTGCCAGGTATCTCTGGCACTGACCAGGTTAATGTGGCCCTGCCAGGTATCTCTGGCACTGACCAGGTTAATGTGGCCCTGCCAGGTATCTCTGGCACTGAACAGGTTAATGTGGCCCTGCCAGGTATCTCTGGCACTGAACAGGTTAATGTGGCCCTGCCAGGTATCTCTGTAACAGGATGTGTGCTTGCTGCACATGTAACAAAGGACTTTAATGATGCAGTTCTGGGATGTGCTGGGCACATGTCACATATGGCAGATGCAGTATGTGCTCCCCAGCTAGAATGGAGGGTTATGTCCAGCTCTGTCATGTTATGTAATGGACGGTACTGGCTGGGAAGGCCTTGCTAACAGGGGTGAGGCGCAGCTAATCTATTAATAGCCCGTATCCTTTTCACATATCCCAATGACTGGCACATTAATACTCAGAGGGCAATGCTGGCTTGACAATCGAATGGGGACAATTCAGGTAGGTAGGCCCACACCGCTGCTTTATTGAATGGGCTCCACCACCCCCCTCCCAAACATGTGTAACTGTTTGGTTTTATATAATATTTTATACAGCTCCTATATTACGGCGAGAAACGAGTGTACGCAATTTATGGTCTAAAACGATGGAAAATGTTCTTCTTCTGGGAACTGGTTGGTGGACATTGGGGGGACAACACCCAAATAATTTGTATAATCTGAGTGTGAATAATGGATCTCATTGTTATACAGTGTTTTACTCGCACTCTCCCAATACATCCTTTGATTGCTCTAATTATGTAGGATGGCTTGTAAAAATCTTTGACAGTCTTATTTGAAAATATCTTTAATTATGGTTCACCTAAGGGCATGGTGTGCTCAAATACAGGTTTGTTCTCTAAGCCAGGGGGTTGCAAATTTTAACCCAGGCACAAATGGGGCGTCATACTTCACTCTTTAACTCCTTAAGGATCAGACTTCTGGAATAAAAGGGAATCATGACATGTCACACATGTGTCCTTAAGGGGTTAAATACATGCAAATTAAATAAGCAAAACAAATTAGCTTGACGCAGCTTTCATCTCTTTGTCTCTGACAACAGCTGGGAGAAGCGTGTGTGACTGTTATAAAGGAATTAACCAGTTTGTGTCTGTGAAATTAGGGATAGAAGTGATCAGTGCTCTTTCAAACCCTTTGTCTATTAGAAACGCCATGTAGTAGATGTGTAGCATGGCGCTGCCAGTAATGCTGTATTTTGCTAATATAGCATATGGTACATATTGTGTCAGACTGCGGTCCAGCGCATTTATTAAATGTTGCAAGTATCCCAAATTTGATCAGTGGATAATATATAGTCTGCTAGGTATCATGGGAACTGTAGTTCAAATGGAGACACTTTGGAGTGAGCTTGTAGAATTGTTCCCTTTTTGTCTTTTGTTTTAATGTTCCCCACATTTGCTAACGTGGTATAATTTGTTTAACCAGGGGTGGCCTGGAACAGACTGGAAGGGTGCAGCGAGTGTGTGAGTGAGACACCTGCTGCAGGCTGTCTGTAATTAATTACCTGCCGTCATTGCTCCCTGTGTTCGTTTCTGTAGCCGAACAGGTGTCTCTTCGAGAAGGGAGAAGATAATTCTTTGCTGTATCTAGAGGGGATAGAACTGACCCCAGGCTATCCTGTAATGATCTATTCTGCACCTCTCGATTTTTATTTTATTTATTTAATTTATTTTTTTTAATTTTCTTTTCTTTTTGCACATGTGTGATTAAGCCTCAAGTCCCTGTTATAATCACTTGTACCTATGACTGGGCCCTGAGTCCCCTGTGATCTCTTGTGTACCCGTGATCAGGCTCTGTGTACTTGTGATGATCTGTTGTGTACCAGTGACCAGGCCCTGTGTCCCCTGTGATGATCTGTTGTGTACCAATGACCGGGCCCTGTGTCCCCTGTGATGATCTGTTGTGTACCAATGACCGGGCCCTGTGTCCCCTGTGATGATCTGTTGTGTACCAATGACCGGGCCCTTTGTCCCCTGTGATGATCTGTTGTGTACCAGTGATTGGGCCCTATGTCCCCTGTGATGATCTTTGTGTACCAGTGACCACCAGGCCCTGTGTCCCCTGTGATCTGTTGTGTACCAGTGACTGGGCCCTGTGTCCCGTGTGACGATCTTGTGTGTACCAGTGACCGGGCCCTGTGTCTGTGATGATCCTTGTGATGATCTGGTGTGTACCAATGACCGGGCCCTGTGTCCCCTGTGATGATCTTTGTGTACATGTGATCGGGTCACTAATTCCTCGTGAAGTGCTGATTCCCTTGTATAAGCCTTGGTTACGTTTCAGTAAGGAATAAAGACGGTTATGACCTCCTGGGGTCTTTACTCACCACACTGTGGAATGTCATGCGTGGACCGGAAATAACCCTTCTACTGCACCCAATGAATATGAATTAAAAGTGAATTTATAATTTTAGGTAAAGCCCCCGCCAATCTCCCTGCTCAATGTCTTCAATGTGACTTTTACATGTTAATATTCCAGACCCGAGATAATACAAGGGCCGAGAAACAGGCATTAAAGGCTGTGTGGTTCATGACCCCTGGGGCAATGTCGCTTTCCCAATGAGACCCCTCTCATACCAGGGATAGTCCAATGTCAGGGTTTTATTCGATTACAAATGTAAAATGTCAGTTTTATAGGTATTCTTTTAATGTTTTTTAACAAATTATCCCCAAGCGGTTTCCGTGCCCCAGATAAAATGAAAAGTTAAGTCACACTGTATGGCAATGTCTGACTGTCTAGACGTGATCGTTCAGAATGCTTTTTGTTTCTTTTCGGGATTCTATTAAAAATCCTGACATTTTCTCTCTACTGTGATTGGCCAGTGCATATTTCCCTAAAGCCCCGCAGTTGCTGGGCTATGTAGTTATTATACTGGGGGGATCCTGTATTTGGGTGCCCGGCAGTTCACTCAGACATCACAGGACAGCTGAGGCTGTGTTTAGGAAGGGGTGGAATGTACATTTGTAGGAGGAGAGAAAGGGAGGAGATCCTGGCAGCTAAATAGTTGACGTGCACCATAGGCAAGCCCAACAGATTGCAGGATGTTCCGGTTCCTTGCAGCAGGTATGGAGCTCAATCAGAACATCTTAATCCATAGCAGAACCCAACACTTACCATGAACACCACACTGAGACACAGTACCAGCCTGGCATGGTTGCCGGGCCATGCAAAGCAAAGACTGGCATGGTGCCCATGTTAAGCAAAAATGTGTAACACAAAAATGTAAAATGCAGATGTCTTGCTAATTGGGTTATGGACGAGGAGCCCTTAGTTAATTGTTGGAACTCTCTGGATATTCCAGTTATTGCTATTGAACATATGGTCTTGGTTTGTGTGTGTTTAAGGTCCTTGCATTGTTACTCTGTTACTGTATCATTACTTCCTCCATTTATAACAATAAAACCTTCTTTTCTTCCTACCAGCGATTGTTGGCATTGTTGCCGTTTACCTGGTGTTCGGATATGGGGCATCTCTACTTTGCAACTTAATTGGATTTGCTTACCCTGCCTATATCTCGTAAGTCATCCTTTTGCTATATATTTACTTGTTTGTGCATTGTGGAGGCGCGCTTGATTAATATCTACGTGTGTTTTATGCCATTGTTTTATGACTGTTTATCTTGATCATGTTATGAGACATTTCCATGCTGGGGAGCCACGAAGAGTTAAACTTGTTTGCCTGTACAATGATTCCTTGTAAAACCTGTCTGCTTTCAGAAATATGTTTAAATAGCTTAGAAAGGTGTGTGTGTGTGTGTGTGTGTGTGTGTGTGTATCACATTTTGCTAATTTAAAGTGCACATCTATCTTGGTTCTAACAATAAAACCTCCTCCTACATCAAAATGACATTAAAAAGACACTTATTTCCCCCCCCCCCCATTTTAATATAAAACTTTTTGTAAACTGTTAAACTTTTTACAGTTCAATAAAGTAATCAGCTCTTAATATTGAATTGTTTTGTGCGTAGTGTTCGTTTAATATGTGCATGACTTACATGCTGCCTGATCGTTACACTTCAATGTAAACTCCAGGCATGATCTGACATAAATAGGGGGAGGGCTTGGTTATTTTTATGAATACATATGTACATAGAGCAAATAAAGGGTTTGAATCTTATTCTGTAAAGTCTGTGACAACTTCCAGCCAATCCTGGTCTTCTCTTTACTTTCAATGAGAATCATGACATTTTTGTGTGCTGGGACAGATCTCCTTGTACCAAAACCACTGCAACTGCATTGCATAGGAGGGTCGCTCCCAATTCTATTTTAGATTTTAATATGGAGGCCCTTTTCAAAAACCTTTATTCTTGCTTGCTTGCTGTCCGTATCCTCACAGGACACTCCCGGTTTTAAATACACAGCAAAGTGATTTGTTTGCGGAATTCTTTCATGTGTGTGTCAGTTTGAAATTTCTATTTAAAAAAAAAAATAATGTTTTTAACCCTGTGTTCTATTCCAGAACTTGCGTTATCCCAGTGAGTTCAAATACAGATTATTTGTAATGAATTTGAAAATGCCACGAGTATTTAAAAAAAAAAAAAATTAAAAAAAAAATTTGATAATGAATCCACAATTGACACTTCAGTAAATAAACCTTGAATATTTCAGTTAAATTCTGAATGGTTTTATTTACCGTCTCGATCCCTTAGGCAGACAGAATGTGACTGTCATCGCAGATTATATTTCATATTTGGGGTAAGGTGGGGATAACCTCGCTATGTATATGTTTACCAGACTCCAAATGGTACACAGTGTTACAGAGAAGTGGTAAACAGTGGGAACATATGTCCCGTGATTACGTAATTTTAATTTAGGATGTCTCAGGGCAGCCATCAAGGTTTTCATAAATAAAATCCCATGCACTCCAAAATTGAACAGACGTATCCCCTGATGCAAGACAATATCCCTATCTATTCTATAAGAAAACGTCGGTGGTCCTGGTGAGTACCTAGGCATAACATTTTATACTTTAATTTTAAAGATGGCTGCAAGTTGATGTTTTTGCTGTTAAACCATTGTTCCCTGCAGTCCCCATTCTTCTCCTTTGAGAAGATAAAGAATAGGGATTATGGAAAGCGCTCTCTCTGCCAGGTGTTTGAGAGAGGTCCTCTGCTTTCTCTAATATGAGTAGTGTCATAGGTTACTACCCTGTCTCACAGCTATAGAGGGTCTTTAACTTGCCCTAGACCACTGTTCTCATCATCCTCAGACAGAGAGCCTTGATTCCCGATGGTGACTGCTCCGTTGACAGTGCAGTGGCCGTGATTCCAGTGAAAGGTAAGTTATACTTACTTAAACCTGTTTCTCGTGGCCACTGCCATGTTCTTGGTTCCAGTCCTATTCAGCTCATAGTGAGTCAGCTGCCACACATGCGCAAGAATAAAAGACTGATGTCTATAGAGGATGCCGCAGCGTTTACAGAGGCTTTTTCCCTTCAGTTGTCTCTCAGCCCTTCTAAAATATTCATTTTGGACAGGGGTGGTGGTTTACAGTGCACATTAAAGGGATATTCCACGGCTCAAACATAAAAACATAAACATTGCTACTTAGTAGCTATATCGCAATTCAAAACATGCATTTTAATTGTGCACTTCTTTTCATTCGTGGTATATCTAAAACAGCTTGCACAAGCAGAGCATCTTTTGTCTGCCGCCTGTACTAGCACTGCCTTTGTTCCCCAGACTTTCTGTGGCTGTCCAATCACAGACTTCCTAATGCAGCTCAGTGAGAAGTCTTTGCAAGGCAGGTGCTTCTGAATGCGTAGACCGCAGTCCACACAGGTGTTCATCTGCCCCAGATTTCCAAATGTATGTCTCTCTGCGTCTCTAACAGAAGCTCAGACTTTTTGAGATGTAACAGTCTGAGCAATAAAACTCACAATAACTGATCATTAAAGGGACACTCCATAGTTCCAACTTTATCAATCACTATTTAGCAGATATACCCTGATAAAAACAAGCGTGCTTTATGCACTTTCATTGGCGTTCTATCTTGACTCGGATTGTAAAAGCTGCAGATCTCTTGTCTGCATCTTTTGCAAGCCCTTCTCTTTTATCACCAGCCGAGACTTTCCGTCTGTGACGGACAATGCTCCAGCCAGAGCCTTTGAAATCTGCACTTTTATAAAGTGTTACGTCACAATGTGACTGGCTCCAGACACACAAAGCAATTCAGCAATCTGCATGTGGTGTGTTCATTTAATAGATGGAGAAAAAACAAATTATTGATGCCTGAGACAGCCTTGTGCTTGCTGGTTATCAGATGTTTGTGTTCAAAGCAGGTCCTGGGGTATAGCAGGCCAGAGAGACTTATTCTGGCAATCTTATCGAAATTTAATGAATTTTAAAATCATTGTCTCCTTAGTGGGAAACGCCAACCTTTTCATATGTCTGTGTGTGTATTTGCTGTTTAGTACAGAGAGGCTTTGTGATGTCAGCCAAGGAAGTGTAAATCCTGTGTAATTACTTTGTGTGTTATTGAACTTTTTTTTTGGCAGAAAAATAGTCATGTGAGCAGCAGGCACGAAAATATCTTTTAAGACGAACAAATCCAGAAAGAAATGTTTCTTCCTGTTTTTGTTTTTTTGTGTCATAATTAAATAGTATGTTACCTCTATCTGTTGAGCAGGGCTAAAGACTTTGATTGCACTTTAGAAACGTGGGAAGGGACTTCTGGATTGCACAATATTTTACTCGGTAAATGTATTTATTTATTGCAGAATGCTGTGCCAGATATCACATTATAATAACCCATTTTTGTTACATGAAAGGAGACCTTGCAGTGGAGGAAAAGAGAAATGACTCTGCCATCTCTCCAGGTTATTCAATATATTCTAGCCTTCAGATTTTTATATTAACACCGTAACTCTCTCTAATTTCTCACTTCCAGTGCTGTTACTCAGCCCCTAACTCTGAACCTCTCTGTAACCCCTCTTTTATATACCTTGAACGTGTGAATGCAGGTTCCCGAGAGATACCTGTAGTATTATTATTATTTATATAGCACCAGCAAATTCCATAGCGCTGTACAATGGGTGAGACTCTGAAATGTGGCTGCACAGTGTTTATTTAAACTGCTTGCTGAGCGCTTGGCGAGGAGAAGAGAATCATTGTAAATAATAGATGTCTCCCAGTCGGTGTGTTAGGCTGACCTAGAAAAACAAGGCAGCTCTATTCTTATTGAAGCACACAGCACATCTGTCTGTAGACCGTAATAGGGAACAGACTGCGATCAGCAAAAACTGCGACAACAGTCATGTTTATAGATCGTAAGGACAATGTTACCATAACCACTACAGCCCGGTGTATAACAGCTCACTGTAGTGGCTATGTTGCCCGGAGCCTTTGGGCTCAATAGATCAATGGAGAGCAGCAGACTCTGGGTGCTGTAGAGAGCCTGTTTTTATGAAAAAAAAATTTATTTTATTTTGTAGCAGTAATGGTTAAATTAGTTTGTCAAAAAGTGTTACTGAAACGGATAGTGAGGGATTTCACAAATCCTGTAATTGTGAGTAATTCTAAATACATGGTTTGCAGGCTCACTAAATATTTACAACCTCGTAATGTACAGGTACTGAATTCCGTATATGGAGGCTACGTTTGTCGATGTTTGCCTTTTCCTGTTGTCATTTGATGAGTAATACGCTAATGGATGGCAGCTCTGGGGATTTGTACTCTCTGCAAAGCCGGTTTCACATTACGTGGATAATTCCCTCCTGACAGACAACGACGATGATGTAATATTATTGCAGCCATTTTCATGGATTTTATATATATTGTTTCCCATACTTGTTTTCCTGGCACTATAGTTCCCTGATGGTGCCCCCACTCTCAGGGTTCCCCTCCCGCCGGGCTCTGGGGAGAGGAAGGGGTTAAACACTTACCTTTCTCCAGCGCCGGCGGGGAGCTCACCTCCTCTTCGGCTGAAACTGCTATGTTTATAAAAAAAATGTGTTAACCCTAGCTGGACTTGGCACCCAGACCACTTCATTAAGCTGAAGTGGTCTGGGTGCCTAGAGTGGTCCTTTAAGCCATTTTTCTTTACACATTCCTAATTATCCACACTCCCTGTTTATATCAGACATGCATAAGCAAAACTATTCTCACTCCACTCCATGACACATTATGCGCACTCCAGGCATCTCCTGGGAAATGTTATGAGAGTATGTGCTCTGGGTAGTCCTCTCACGTACGCCGGCATCGTGAGGGGTACCAGAACCCCACATGGGGAAGTCATTCCCCTGAACTGTAGGTTAGACACAACCACTTTAGACCGGTTTGATTCCTTACTTGGGGTCTGTTGGGTGCGGTTCCCTGCCTCCAGCCTGAAGGGTCTTCTGTTTGACCTCCTGAGGTAAGCCCTGCAGAAAAGGGCCAGCTGATTGGCCTGCTGACTGTTCTCCGCCAATGATGTAAGCCCTAAAATGGTTTGACTATTTACTGTGGGAGAAGGGGGTACTCCTGACACCACAATCACTAGAGCACACTCGAGTAGGTATGGTGCTTGGTGTGTTTATTTAAAGGAACATTTCCGTTACCCAGACCACGTTCTCTCAATGGAACGGTCTGGGTGCAGTGCTGCTGTCCTCTTAACTGTGCAATGCAGTGTTTGAGCGGGTTAAGTCCTGATCTAGTGAATGTCAGTATAACCGTCAGTAGAGGCACTTCTGTGTCATGTGACTACGTTTTACTCTGCCAGTGCAGCAGGAGACCTATAGGAATGTATTAATCCAGTGCTTCCCTCAGTTTGAACATGCGTATGGCAATCACCTGTGCGCGCATGCGTAATAGGTCCAAAATGCTCCTCTGTGAGAATGGGATTAGACCACGCCAGAGGAGTGACGTGACGTGACTTTGTGGGAGGTGGAGAGGTGAGCAGATTCTTTTTATTTTTTTTCTCATATTTATGGCAAACTGAGCTTTTTTTGTGTATAATAAGTAAAGCTTAATGTGCATCCAGACATTCAAGCAGTCCTAACAGTTGCATTAAGAGAATAATAAAATGGGCTTGGCAGCTGTAGGCACAAAAGTATCAGAGCTAATATGTTAAAAAATAAAATACTGTAGACTTGTTTGTTTGATATATTGACACAATTTAACATATTATTCAGCGCCTGCTGAATAAAAACCATTTGACTGAGAAAATCCGATTCGTGAGCTGCTTGACACGGCTTTTGTTGTTTTACGGCTTTACTTGTTACCATGGAAACTTCTACCTACTGGAGTCAGTAAAACAGAGGCTGTGTGTGGGCAAAGTGTTGTTTAGTCATGATGGCATATGTTGTACGGCTCTAGAGCTACATTACCCATGATGCTTTGCCTGCGTGGGGCTGCCTGAGGTGGGTGAGAATGATGTTAAAAGCCACACGGTCACCTTCTGGGGATTTTGATTTCGCAAAGTCCCCCCCCCCCAACTGTGACATCGTCATTGGGTGTCCGGTGGCTAGTGGGAGGAGGGCCAAAGGCACCAACATCCTCCTCTGTCTGCTCCTGTGTTGGAGCAGCCGTCGCTTCGGTACTCGTAGGTCGCGAGACCGTGTTATCCTCCATAGACACCGTCAATTCCCTGCAGCTGTCACTGGTGGTTGCCTTTTAGAGTGCACCGCGAGTCAGAGGAGAAATACAGAGACGGGGCTGTCTGTCTTGCCACATATGTCAAATCTTTCCCAAATAGGCAAAAAAAGTGCCCACACATTATTTGCACCATAACCACTACCCTGAGCTTTGGTGGCTATGGTATTTGATGTCCTTTTTAATAGAGTTCTTAAAGGGTCCGTCCAGGTAGCAGTTGCCCCTCGTATCTTCGGTTTACTGCATTGTGGAGATAACTGTAGTATGTAGCCATGGGTTTGGTAACAGGAGACGGGTCCCCCGTGCACCGTAACTTTGGAAAGGATCGGCTGGTCAGTGACATCTACATCTAGTTTCAATAGAGCTCAATGCTGGAAAATGAGGATATGCAGCAAATGCATAAACCTCAAAGGTGTTTGTGTATCTTTAATTTTTTTACTTTTAATGTGGCGGGGGTTATCCCGGTCCTCGCTGTCCTACACAGTAAATCTGTGAGCTCTGCAACACACCTGATATGAGGCCTGGCTACATGAGATGGTCGCACATGTTCCGGCTCTGTAGGGCCTGGCACCACACCAGCTACACCCGAATCACTCACCTATCAAATTCATGGCTACACTGGATGCTATCTTCAAGCTGTTCTGGGCGAAGCTGGAGGCCTGCTCGAGAATGGTGGCACCAGATGCTCTGTCTGCAAGGGTGGTTCAGAGGAGCTGAGGAGGCCCCTGCTGGGCAAAGTGGTTTCCAAGGCTGCAGCAACTGATCGAACATGACCTCCTGGGCTGGTAGCCATTATGGGTACACCTCCAGCACACCATCCTCGCAGGTGGTTGCATCAAGGATGCAGACAGAGGGCCTTTCGCTGTTACCTACAAAGGAAGAACCTGGACACTATGAGACCAGTCATGTAGGGAAAACAATATAAGTTTGATGCCCACTGGCAGTCCCACAGCATTTAGCTGAGGCTGCAGCTTCACTCCAGGCTAACATCTCAGGCCTCCAGGGTGGGCATCGGCTGACTGAGGCGAACTGCCACAGGGACTTTTATTACTCACCACTGACATAAAGCATGGTCTGTGATTAATATCTCCGATTTTTATTTTTTATTTTTTATTATTTAGTGTTTTTGTGCCCCTCAGATTTTACTTAGCCAGATTTGCCCATGCGGAATCCTTCCTTTGGTGACCATACCAGCCTATCTAGCAGACCTTCCTTTTGTTGCTGTAGATATATCTTCGCTTGTGATAGGCATGTTTGTTTAGCCGTTAATTTAAATTCTGTTCTTTTCATATGCTCTTAAAACGAGAATAGTACCCAGCGGCTGCTAAGCTACAGAATTAACTATAGTTTAGAATGTTAGACTATTTTCTTTTCTTTGTCACTCTACTCTTAAATTGTTCTTATCTCCCACTCATTATCTGACATAACTTGTTTCTGCCTGTTTATTTAAAAAAAAAAAAACACCTATCACATGCCACAGTACTCTGCCTCTTGAATTTTTCCTGTTGTGGCATAGCAAGCTCGTCTGTAGAAACATAGAATGTGACGGCAGATAAGAACCATTCGGTCCATCTAGTCTGACCAATTTTCTAAATACTCTCATTAGTCCCTGGCCTTATCTTATAGTTAGGACAGCCTTATGCCTATCCCACGCATGCTTAAACTCCTTTACTGTGTTAACCTCTACCACTTCAGCTGGAAGGCTATTCCATGCATCCACTACCCTCTCAGTAAAGTAATACTTCCTGATATCATTTTTAAACCTTTGCCCCTCTAATTTAAGACTATGTCCTCTTGTTGTGGTAGTTTTTCTTCTTTTAAATATAGTCTCCTCCTTTACTGTGTTGATTCCCTTTATATATTTAAATGTTTCTATCATGTCAACCCTTTGTACAACAAAAATAAATGAAAAATTTAAATGACTGAATGCATGACCCTCTCAAAAGGAACAATACAGTCAAATATTTAATAAACTTTAATCTTCTAGATATTCAGCATTTTTAGAACAATTATGATGGGCCTATTTACAGAATCTTATCGACCAAAAACAAGTGTCATGTATCTGATGGAGATGGTGTTGGAGGAAAACTCAAAGGATGCAGCTATAAGAAAACACATACTCTATGCTAATCTCTCTCTAATTTATGCTTTCATCTTTCAAGTAAATACATAACCTCTAACAGCAGTGTCCAGTGAAGCAGGAAGTCAATGGGAGGGGTAAAAAGGTGTGCCACTGACGCGAATCACGAGACCAGAACTGCCAAAAGGGGTGGGCATGTCTGTCCAAAGAATTGGAAGGCCAGCCTGGCATCAGTGTCCCTATGTCGCCCAATCCCTCAGTGTCCTTATGTCTCCCTCTGTCCCCATGTCTGTGTTTCCCATGTCACTAGGATACAAGGGGACATTGAGACACTTGGGGACACTGGGAGACATGGGGGCACTGGGAGACATGAGGACACAGACATTTAGGGGCACTGGGAGACATGGGGACACAGACATTTAGGGGCACTGGGAGAAATGGGGACACTGGGAGACATGGGGACACTAAAAACACTAGGGACACTGGCTGGGAGGCATGGGGACACAGACACTTGGGGACACTGGGAGACATGGGGACACTGAGAGACATAGGGACACTGGCAGGGAGACATGGGGACACTGAGAGACATAGGGACACTGGCAGGGAGATGGGGACACTGGGAGACAATGTCCCTATGTCTGCCTTTCCCCTCATCCATCACTTCCCTGAGCTATAGGCTGTCTCTGCAGGCTGCGAGCTGCTGTCTGGACTCTCTGTGCTGTGTAGCTGCTCCCCTGCGGATCAGTGAGTAATGGAGAGAGGCAGGGAGAGAGATGCTGTTACTTCCTATCCCTGCCTCTCTCCATACACAGTGACCCCTACTGGCTGGTGCTGCGTATTTCAGCGTAATCTCCATTTATATCTGCATTTGTATTTCTGCAATACCGGCATGGCCAGGCAGCCTCAAATACTGGCTGTGCTGGAAAAATACCAGTCAGGTGGCGAGGGAGAGAGAGAATCTATTATTATTATTTTTTTTTTAATGGGCCTGGAGCTTCAGCTCCATCAGCCCCTATGTTAATCCGGCCCTGTACATCGTTAACCATGAACTGGTAAATCTATGAAAACCTTATAACACTTTGGATTCCAGGGGTTTTGGCCATATCTCTGCCACACACGTTTCACCCACACAGTTAAACATCCATGGCATTTAACAGGTTAACAGTCTCACTGTCCTGAGCAATGTGATTTGCATGTGTTTGGGTGAGTCACTCCACCCCTGACTCATTGACATCTGTTTTAAACTGTCTGCAGGACAAAATCTGTACTCACAGGCTACACGAGCAATTCATAAAGAAAACAATGTTAGAATGTCTTGACATTTGTGGATGGAATTTCACTAACATTTTTACTATTCTCAGTGGTTAAAAGACATATTGTCTGCTAAGAAATTACAATGGCTGCCTAAAATAATCCCACATGTATTTGAAAAGTTGCAGAAATCATCTTGAGGCTTTAATGATGAGAAGCGGGAAAATCCCTCGGATATCACGGCCGTCCGGACAGAACGTGATACAGTTGTAAAATAATGAAAGTTTATTGCATGTGTATTAAAATAAGCAGCAGGATTGGCGTTGTAGACACTCCGAGAAGCATCATGTTTACCAAATTAGGGAACAGGTGGATTGGTCAGTGGATGTCACACACTTTACCTCAGGAAATGGTTTATAAATCCTATGTCCCTGTGGCTTTAAAACTTCCCTCTCTTACGTTGCATACCTACAGCCACGTTGAACATGTGTTTTTAGAAAAACTAGTTCGGCTGTTGCAGAATAACACTGGCTGTGTCCTGGCTCGGCTCCTTGTGCGTGTGATTACTAAGAAATCAGCCACACAAACCTACTCTCTCTATGGGAACTATACCTTCAATGTACAGTTTAAGCCACACAACAATTCCTTTTAAAGGGACACTATAGTTACCAAAACAATTTTAGCTTAATGAAGCAGTTTTGGTGTATAGATCATGCCACTGCAGTCTCACTACTCAATCCTCTGCCGTTTAGGAGTTAAATCACTTTGTTTATGAACCATAGTCACACCTCCCTGCATGTGACTTGCACAGCCCTCATAAACACTTCCTGGAGTCATCTAATTTTTATCCTTCCTTTATTGCAAGTTCTGTTTAATTTAGATTTCCTTATCCCCTGCTATGTTAATAGCTTTTTAGACCCTGCAAGAGCCCCCTGTATGTGATTAAAGTTATATTTACAGAGAAAGAGATACAATTGTTTAAGGTAAATTACATCTGATTGAAAGTGAAACCAGTTTTTTTTTCTTTTTTTTTCATGCAGGCTCTGTCAATCATAGCCAGGGGAGGTGTGGCTAGGGCTGCATAAACAGAAACAAAGTGATTTAACTCCTAAATGGCAGTGAATTGAGCAGTGAAACCTGAGAGGCATAATCTATACACTAAAACTGCTTCATTAAGCTAAAGTTGTTTTGGTGACTATAGTGTCCCCTTATAAAAAATCTATAAGGGGGCCCTTTAAAAAAAAAAAAAAAAAAGAGAGAGAATAAAACTAGCAGTAACTGTGGCCAAAGTACAGCTTAAGCAGTATCCCCATTCATATTGTGCCTTAAATGGAACTGCTGTGTAGTGCTGAACTACCTTTGCTGATCAGAGGTCTAAGGGCTGCTCAGTGACAGCTACTTCCCAATTTCAGTCGAGCTCAGTGCTGTAAGATGAGTATTTGCAGCAAATGCACAAACCTCGAAGGTGTGTGTGCGCTTTTCCGTGGTTTTTGTTTTTTTATCTATATATTTTTTTATAATGCATGATATTATAATGCAATAAGCGTTGAGGGCTTTGAAAAACACTTTAAAAGGAACACTACAATCAAAATGCCTTTAAAAAAAAAACAAAAAAACCCACAACATTTATTCTAACTTTTCAGTCTTCTAAATTCTGTTATTGACATTTTATAAAGCGCCAACTAATTCTGTGTCATACAGTTTTTAACTTTGGAATATCAAATATAGATGGCTTGTAACTTTGTATTTCAGAGGTTGGAAAGCAAAGTGTGCTATATTGCATTAACCTTTTGTGGTGCTTCTTTTAAAGAAATCTTAATGTAGTGGTTATGGTGCATTAATCTTATACCTTTTTGCATAAAATGTAAAACATTGCAGTTTCTGAGCAATATGTTTACATTTTGGTCAAAAAACAAATCCCTCTAGTGGATGTCAGACTAATGGTCGCTATAGAGGAATATTGAATATTTTAAGACCATTAAAAAGGTCGTCGTGCACAGCACGCACTGAAAGAGGAGTGATTTTGGTGGAATTACAAAATAGCTGTAGGTCACCAATGCTTCACAGAACTGGAATATGTGTGCGTGCATGACCCTAAATGAAATTAAAAAATATATATATTTTACTCCCCTTTTTTTCCCAGCACCAATACTCCTTCCGTTTAGCTGCCCTCTCCGCCTTTTGTGATATTGTCCTACCGACAGTCTCCTCTTTGTCTTCTCATCCAATCTAATGCTTCTCCTAAGGAAGCTACAGTCCTGTGCTTCCCTACGATAAGCATTTCTGGACGTTCAAGGTTCTCCTGCAACGTGTGAGGATGTCGAACGTTGTTTCACTTAAAATATAGCATGTCTGAATTAAAAAAACGACCAAAGTAAACCTGTCTTTGTAATAATACTTGTTGTGACAGACCGCCCTGTCACTGGAATACTGTGTTTGCTTATTATTCCATGTTTTGTAAAAACTGTGTTCACATACTTTTTCCCTGTTTTTGGTTTTATACATCCTGAAAGAACGCTGCACACGGATTAGGCGAACGCTGTTGGCATACCAGCTCAAGCCTACGTTCGGTAGTTTCTACGTTTTCGTACTCCCTAAAGAGACCGACCGCCACCGCCTTTTTCCTGGAACTATTTTGGGCAGGCGCTGTGGTGCTTTTCGGATATGTTGTGCGCTTAGATCCAGGCTGTCTGGAAATATAAGACTTGAGGGGATATATGTTTATTATGTCCGTTATGGAGTGTTATAAAAATTGTGGATTTTTCTGTACCTGAGAGATAATTTAATTGTAGGCTTTTTCCCAGACAATTATCTTTCAGGCACGTTGTTTGTGTTGGAAACCCCATGTAGTGGTCTTTGCGTAAAAGGCCGTGTGGCCACTAATAAGGTCAGTTCACTCCCAGCATTCAGTCTCTACCAATGTCTGTGGAGGAAAGCTATACCTGCTCTGGATTATACTACTTGGGAAATGTTATTTCCTGGCTAATCATGGCAGCATTTAACATATGGGTTTAGCTCCTCCCTCTAACCCTCAGGACAGGAAACACAATCAATTAAACAATTAAGCATACCTTCCCCTTGTATAATAGGAACCCCATCAGCCATCACACCTCAGTCTTTTTTTCCTGTCCTCATAGCCCTAGGACAGTTGTTAATTTTTTTTTTCTCCCTGAATTTTAAAGGGTAAAGTTTTTCTTTATGCTCACCTGATCATGCTGCTATGATCTTCACCCTGTGGAGGTCAGCCTCCCTCCACAGGAAGCCCAGGCACATGTAGCCCTTTCTCTCCTCGAGCAGGGAACCCCTGGGAACCATGGTGGGTAGTCCCCCTGGCATCTGGAGCCTGAGTTTGCAGGATAAAGCCTCCAGACCTCGATCAGACGATCATCTATCCGGTAAGACGCCCGCGCATGCGCAATGGCCACGACCGGATTTTCGGCATGTTTGCCCTCATCCAAAATGGCGGATCCGCGGACTTGCCGCCAATCGGCGCATGCGCGCCTCCTTAAAGGCACAGAGCGGGAAATTTGAAAATGGCGGTATTTCTTCAAAAAAGCTGGCGTTTTCAGTTCCCTCTGTTATTCAGTGCTCTCTGGTGCCATATTCTGTCTCTGCAGGTATGTTTTAAGTTATTCTTCTATAATATATGAGGATGTTCAGGTTTTTGCTGCATAAAGTTCATGGTGATTTTTTTTTTTTATGCAGCCCTTATATAAATATAAAAATGGATCCTGCATCTCCATCAGCTAAATCAACAAGATCTACTATAGGTCATAGGTGAGCATTAAGGTATATTCTATTTTTCTACATTAAAAAAGAGTGCATGGAGGGTACAGTCATATGACTTCTGTGTTTTACAGTCCTCAAGACCGGTCTGGCCCTAGATCTCCATCTAAGAGGAGGGATAAACCGGCGGCCTGCCCTGGATGTGGCGCAAGGCCTTTGGATAACTGCAGGTTATGCCGCAAATGTTTATCCATGATTGCAGGAGAGTCGGAACATTGCAGGTCTCCTCAAGCCTCTACGTCCTCATCTCAGGATATAGCTTATTGGATTAAGCAAGCAGTGGCGGAAGGGATTTCAGAATCCAATAGAGGCAAAAGACCCAGGCGTGAGAGCTTTGGCCAAGAATCCGACCTATCTGAAGATGACTTCAGACATCCTGCTGGTTCCTTGGATTTGGAGCTTATCTCTTCTAGTGAGGAAGAGTCCACGGAACAACCGTGTTCATTGGACACAAAGGCGATGGAGCATCTAATCAAGGCAGTGAGAAAGACTCTAGATTTGCCAGAAGAAGTCAGGGAAGTTTCTACTTCTGATAGACACTTCGGAGATCTCCATAAGAGGAAACCTTCCTTTCCAGTGCACAGATCCATTAAGGAACTGATTCGTTCAGAATGGAATACTCCTGGTAAAAGGATTACAAGTCAGGGTAGATTATCAAAATTGTACCCGATTAAGGAGGAGGATTCAAGAATGTGGACAGCGATCCCTAAAGTGGATGCTCCAATTATTAAGGTGGCAAAAAGATCAACTCTTCCGATTGATAGTAATGCTTCTCTCAAAGAACCCATGGATAAGAGAATTGACGCAGATCTTTCTAAGGTCTTCACTACAGCAGGCTTGGGTTGTCATCCAGCAGTCTCTATCTCTGCTTTGTCCAGAGCATTACGTTCATGGATTCTTGATTTGGAAGAGGATATTGAGAGAGGTGTGAGTAGACGTCGCATGACGGACTCCTTGAAGGAGATCAAACTGGCCAGTGATTGGCTGTTGGAATCCTCCACAGATCTTATCAGGATTTTTTCCAAGGTTATGGCTCATTCGGTTACTGCCAGAAGGGCTCTTTGGTTGAGATCCTGGGGAGCTGACCTATCTTCCAAGAATAATTTGTGTACCTTGCCATTTCTGGGAGAGGTGCTTTTTGGCAGACCACTTGAGGAGGTGATTAAAAGAGCGGCTGAGGTCAAGCAAATCTTGCTTCCACAGGACAGGCGTCCAAAAAGACCACAACAGGACCATCGTCCTTACAGGCCACAGGGAGGATATAGAGATAGTAAAACCTATCGTCCAGGCAGAGAATATGCTCGGCTCTCCAATTGGAAGAGTGGTCAAACCGGGAAATCTTCCAGACCAAAGGCTCAAAATTCCTCCTTTCGCCCCACCAGACAGTTCTGAAGGTGGCTTATACCAGGTTCCCCATGTAGGAGCACGCCTTTCGTTCTTCTGGAGGACCTGGAGTGTGATTCCAGATGCTTGGGTGAATTCCGTAATCACCGCAGGATATTCTCTGGAGTTCGAAGATATTTCCCCTCCACCAAGATTCATCAGAACAAGACTCCCTGTCGACAGACAAAAAAGAGAAGTCTTGACCCATTATGTTGCCAATCTTTTTCTGGAAAGGGTCATTGTCCCGGTTCCTGTGAAAGAAAGGTTCCAAGGGTTCTATTCTCCCCTGTTCTTAGTAAAGAAACCAGGAGGAAAGTGGAGACCTATTCTAGACCTACACCAGCTCAACATCTTCTTAAGGATAAGAAAGTTTCGTATGGAATCCATCCGTTCCATCATTCCAGTGATTCACCACAGAGACTGGTTAATCTCAATAGACCTAAAAGATGCCTACTTCCATGTTCCGGTCACAGAAAGACATCAGAAGTTTCTTCGATGCTGTGTAAAAGGGGAGCACTTCCAGTTTCAGGCTCTTCCCTTTGGGATAAGTACGGCCCCGAGAACCTTCTCAAAGATACTGGTCACGGTAATTGCTTTCCTGAGGAAGATGGATGTAGCAATTTACCACTACCTCGACGACATTCTGGTAGTGGCCTCAGACTTCGAGATGTTACTCCAACACAGACATCTAGTACTCGAGACTCTCTCTCGGTTTGGGTGGCTAATCAACCACGAGAAGAGTCATTTAAAACCTTCAAGGGAGCTGGTGTTCTTAGGAGCATGCTTCAATACCCTCAATGCGATGGTATCTCTCGCCCAAGAAAGAAAATTGAAGCTGCAGGATCGGATGCAGGTTTTTCTTCAGAAGACTTCTGCTTCCGCAAGGGAGTTTATGAAACTCCTGGGTACCCTGACCTCTACTATAGACCTGGTCAGATGGGCGCATTGGAATCTTCGTCCTCTTCAGCAGCATCTCCTGAAAAACTTCAAATCCAGCTCAGACGACTGGGAGAAGCAGATCCACATTCCTCTCAGCCTGAAAAGGAAGCTTCATTGGTGGATGAAAGAAGAAAACATCTCCAGAGGTTTTCCTTTGAAGGAGGTCGACTGGGTAGTCATCACGACAGATGCCAGTCAGTTCGGTTGGGGTGCTCATCTGGGAAATTCCTTTGTCCAAGCAGAATGGACTCAGAATGCTCAGCACCTGCCTTCAAATATAAGGGAATTGAGAGCAACGTTTCTGGCTCTTCTTCATTTTCGGCATCTGATCAAAAGAGCCTGGGTGAAGTTGAGAGTGGACAACAGAGCGGCTGCCGCCTATATCAACCATCAAGGCGGCACCAGGAGTGTTTCACTGATGAAAGAAGTATCAGCAATCATGACCTGGGCACAAATACATGTGGAAGGTCTACGTGCGGTCTATCTTCCAGGAAAGGAGAATGTCTTGGCGGACTTCCTCAGCAGACACCTGGTAGAAGCCACGGAATGGCACCTGTCAAGGACGGTGTTTCAGCAATTGGTCCAGAGGTGGGGTCTTCCCCAAGTGGATCTCATGGCTACAGCTCAGAACACTCAAGTTCCTTGTTTTGTTTCAAGGAGATTCCATCCGAGGGCGCTGGATCAAGATGCTCTTTCAATCAAATGGCACTTTCATCTGGTATATGTCTTTCCCCCAGTTCCTCTCATTCAAGCTGTTCTGAGGAAGATTTCCAGAGAACGTTGCAGGGTGATTGCAGTGATCCCCTTCTGGCCAAGACGCCCTTGGTTTCCTCTTCTGAGGAGGTTGGCATTGGAGGATCCTTGGGAGATTCCAGTCTCGGAGAATCTGCTGACACAAGGCCCGGTGGTTCATCCAGAACCTTACAAGCTCAGGCTTCATGCTTGGCTTCTGAAAGGCAATCCCTGAAGAAACGGGGCTTATCAGAACAGGTGGTGGCTACCCTTTTATGTTCCAGGAAGATCTCCACTTCATCTACTTACCACAGAATATGGGAAGCCTTTGCGGTCTGGTTAAATTCTTCTATACAGAACATGGGTACTCCTACAGTCTCTCAAGTTTTAGGTTTTCTACAAGTGGGCCTGGAGAAGGGTCTTAGTCTTAACACCCTGAAAGTTCACTGTTCAGCTATCTCGGCTCTCTCTGGCATTCGATGGGCACTTCATCCTATGGTGGTTCGTTTTTTCAAGGCCGTTGTACGGATTAGACCTCCTATCAGACAACTGGCGTCTCCTTGGAATTTGCCTCTGGTACTGCAGGCCCTAACGGAGTCTCCCTTCGAACCTATTGGGAGCATACATTTGCAGATCCTTTCTCAGAAGACTCTATTATTACTGGCTCCAGTCTCTGCCAGAAGAATGTCTGACATCAGAGCTTTATCAGCCGAGGAACCTTACACTTCATTCTTTGATGATAGGGTCGTTCTCCGACCGAGGCCTGAATTTCTTCCCAAGGTTGTTACATCTTTCCATCTCAATCAGGAAATTATCTTGCCTGCCTATTTTCAGCATCCTTCTACCCCTGAGGAATCAAGGTGTCATATGCTGGATCTTCGTAGATGTTTACTGATGTATATAGAACGCTCTGCTGCTTGGAGGAAATCCTCTCAATTATTCATTATACCTTGGGGTTCTCGCAAAGGTGAAGCCGCCTCAGTCTCCACTCTTCGTTCCTGGACGGTTTCGGCTATCTCCAAGGCTTATGGAGCGTGTGGTGTTCCTGTTCCGAAAAACATCAGGGCTCATTCCACAAGATCTATCGCTACTTCATGGGCTGCAGAGTCAGGAGTTCCTGCAGAGAGCATCTGTAAGGCTGCCAATTGGTCTTCTCTAAAGACCTTTGTAAATCACTACAAAGTGGATATTGCTTCCCGCTCGGATTCGGAGTTTGGCCTGTCGGTCCTGAACTCCTTTAATCCTCATAGATGATCTCTATATTAAACTATTTTTGTAGCATGCATTTCCCTCCCTGTGTTGTTATTGCTTGGGGAATCCCATATGTTAAATGCTGCCATGATTAGCCAGGAATAGGGAAAATTTATTCATACTTACCGTAATTTTCTTTTCCTGGCTATTATTCATGGCAGCATTTGGTTTCCCACCCTCTATTGGATATGCTTCTTGTTACTTGACTGAGGTGTGATGGCTGATGGGGTTCCTATTATACAAGGGGAAGGTATGCTTAATTGTTTAATTGATTGTGTTTCCTGTCCTGAGGGTTAGAGGGAGGAGCTAAACCCATATGTTAAATGCTGCCATGAATAATAGCCAGGAAAAGAAAATTACGGTAAGTATGAATAAATTTTCCCTATTCTGCCTTACTAATACGATTGGAATTACTGCAGCAAAGTTCCAGGGAGAGGGAAAAAGACGTCCTTGGCGGCGAAACCCGTGTTCCTATCCGGGTGGCCGCCACACTTGTGAAATGTGGTGTGTTTTTATTTTCCACTTTAAAAAAAATGTGTTTTTGTTTTGGTTTTGTCTTTTAGAATTAAGGCGATCGAGAGCCCAAATAAAGACGACGACACACAATGGCTGACTTATTGGGTAGTCTACGGGATCTTCAGCATCATTGAATTCTTCTCTGATATATTTCTGTCCTGGTTCCCTTTTTACTACATGATAAAGGTCAGTCCCTATGGTTTTTGTAAAGGGCATCTCATGCTGTGTCTATCCAGTAGGGATGTGGCAATGGTTGGGGATTCAAAGCGAGGGATTTTGGGGTACTGTGCAGCCTAAAAGGCATTCTGGGACAAAGCTTAGTTTACTGCACTCTATTGTAATTTAAAATGGCACTTAAATACCTAAATAAACCATAACAGCTAAACATATAGAAGGTATTAGAGGGGGGTTTCCAAAAAGGATATTGCTTTATACAGCACTTATATTTTTATTTTTTTACCCAGTTTACTCCCACACACACACACACATTGTCTTTTATTATATTTTTATTTAAATAAATTTATTTTTTCTTTTTAAAAAAACACATTTTAGAATTTTAGTTTGGTCTCTGTTAAAATTAGAATTATTTTTAAATGTAGTTTTTGTTTTTGATCTACATTGACACCTTGTTCCGCCTCCCATCCGAGGGTAATTTCACTAGAGTTTCCTTGTATGTGGGAACCTGCTGCCACATCCCTCGGCAAATGTGTATTAATAGTAAAACTGGGCGCAGTAACAGCTGGGTGTGAGCAGTTGCCTTATTATGAAGTACTTTCTGTTTGCTTAAATCAGTTCCAGGATCCTTGTGTTGGCATTGCTTGGCATGGTCACTTCTTCATACAATATGCCCATGAAATAAATGCTTTTAATGGAGCTTGTAGTCATCTGTAGGGAAATACATTTTTTTATTTTTATTTTGCCATTGCGGTATATATCACTCTGGCGGAAAAACACGTGCTCTGACGTTTATTATAGCCACCTTTCTAAAAAAAACACGTGCTCTGACATTTATTATAGCCACCTTTCTAAAAAAACACGGGCTCTGACATTTATTATAGCCACCTTTCTAAAAAAACACGTGCTCTGACGTTTATTATAGCCACCTTTCTAAAAAAAACACGTGTGCTGACGTTTATTATAGCCACCTTTCTCGGTCCCGATGTTCTGATACTTTTCCTTCTATTTCTATATTGCCAAATGGCTCTGATGTCCTTAATCAGTCCTCCGCTAGATCTTCAGTCTTGTCTTAATGCTTAATTGAGTATTTTCTTTTTCTTTAAAATGTTCCTTATGTGACCCTCTATGTCCAATTTTCCTTCCTGCTTTTAATTTTATTTCTGCTCTGTATCCTTCTATTCCTTATCCTTCACCCAATCTCTCATTTTCTCCTTCACCCAATCTCCGATCCTGCTTTTTTTTTTTTTAAATCTTCATAAATCTGAAGCCTTACTCTATTAACCGGTCGGAAACAATGCCATCTCTCTGCCAGTCGGACATGAGATGGCCGTTTTTCTAGAACGGCAGCCTGCTGCTGATTTAATGTGGTATCTAGACGTTTGTTGTCATACGGCTGCTCGTATTACATATAAACGTGGGCTATTCGTTATGTTGACACATCTGTAGTTGTGGTATCGTTGCTAGGTGAGGCTTCCTCTCTAAACACCGCACTGGACCACAAACTGGGCATCCTGCCAATAACTTGCATTGCAAAACTAACTTGACTGATACCAAGGAGTTTCCTTTAAACTTGGTATTCTGATTTAAGTAAGGGATTGTCTACTTTGCCCAATTTCGTGCCTTTTAAAGGGACACTACTAACCTACTAAACTAGCTTTAAAGTACGACTCGAGTTACCCCGGCCACTTTATCTCAGTGGCATTGCCTGGGTGCTGTAGTCCTGTAGGTTAATGCCTGCAATGTAAAACATTAGATTTATTTTTTTTTTTATAGAATTTGCAATGTTTACATTGTCGGGTTAAACCTGCCTCCAGTGGTCGTTATACTGACTGCTAAAGGCACTTCCTGCTGCAGTAACAGAGCAAAACACGGTCACATGACTGCAGCCTCCATGTTTGTATTCCTAAAGCGCTAGTGTTTTATTGAATTTCATTTACTTTAAATCTGACTCTCCCGGCCCCCAAAGCTCGTCCTCTCTGCACCCTCTGGGATAATGAGGAAGGTTCCAACATTTTGTGTGCTAATCTAAGTTTGGATGACCGTGATACACTGTGAGTGTTGTAGGTGACTTAACACCAAACACACAGCCTTACAAGGCTTTGGTTGCTGGAAGAGCCTGGTTTTATTTTATTAGATTGCTCTAACAATCATTGTGCTGCAGATTTTATGGTGCTTAGACTGTCCCTTTAAGAATGCTGTTTCCATTTTTTTTTTTTTTTAAGACCTGTCAAGGAATTCTCACTGCTTGCGCACAGTTTATTCCTTACGTTGGTGATCTCCCGTGTAACAAATTGCATCACAATCTAGTTCAGTGCAGGCACAGCCAGGGCACAGATTGTAAATTAAGAGGAGAACTGGAAACATTGTTTCATTAGTCTCTTCTCTGCATGCTCTCTCTATGCTGACTGCCGACAGGGCGCTAAGCTGGAGGGTACAGAGGTGTGGATTTCTGCATGTGAACTTCAACAGTAAAGACAGAGTAGCTGGACTGACCGCACAACTGATTCTGTCTGTCTCCACCCCCAACCCCCACCTTTTAATCTAAGAATTGTAGCAAATTGATTTGGGGATAGCAGATTGTTATGCCAAAATAGCGGAGTTGTACATTTATTATTTTTTTTCAATTCTCCATAATTCCTGATTTATTGAGAACCTCCTCCCTCGTGGAATATGACAGAATGTGATTCTTGATAACTATATTATTTCTGCAGAAACCGGTGATCTCTCTGATTATGCGGCCAGTGTGTGGGGCAATGACTCAATTTGCTTTTCTTCTTCTTTTTGTACAGTGTGGTTTTCTGCTCTGGTGTATGGCTCCCAGCCCCTCCAACGGAGCCGAACTGATCTACCACAAGATCGTCCGCCCATTCTTCTTAAAACACGAGGGAGAGATGGATCGTGTAGTGAAAGATCTTAAAGACAAAGCATCTGAAACTGCTGGCACCATTGGCAAAGAAGGTAATTTCTGCCATCCCAACCTCCCTTCCTCCCTCCCACTTCTATGAAAAGTAAAAAGAACTTGCATGAAGATTACGGACAAGAGTTTTGGTGCAACATTGCCCACATGCCCATTTTACGACCTACACGGTAAAAGTGGGTACGGTGGGAAGTAGGCTGTATTGTCAACACCTGAAAAAATGTGATTTTAGGCAAATCCCTAATCTGCTTTTTAAAATTGCTAGACATTAACTGGCTGTTACCCATTGATATAAGAACCAATAAATAAAAGGACTGTTCAGTAATCCTAAAGCAAGCTGCATTGTATATCGATACGAGGAAGATTCCAAGAGACAGGTTTAGAAAAGTGGAATAAAATTCTAAGAATGATACCATCACCATGGGAGCCAAGGTATCGCTCTTACTGATTCTAATGATTTCCGTGGTGACTGCCCAACATTGAGAATTAAAAAAAGAAAATATTTTGTAATCTAGAAAAGGGTTTATTGAAGGCCCGTGTGTTCTGTGCGTATATAAACAAACACCTGTTTTGTTTTTTTTCTTCTTCATGCAGTTAAAAAAGCGGCTGTGAACATGCTGGGTGATGAGAAGAAAAGCAGTTAAACACGCTTAGTGAAAGAAACCCCTTATAAGCGTTTAACGTTTTGTAGGGGATGGTCCTCCGAGTCGTCCTTCCCCTGTCACAGCGGCCTGATACACATTGAGGAGCATTGACTGAAAAATGCTTTATTTCAAACCCCGCTGCATTATGGGGGATTAATATTGTTGCCTTGGAAACCTGTTTTTTTGATATGAAGAGAGAATGTGTTGAGGCTGTTATCTATTTTTGCTGTTGTCTGTAGAGGGGTGGGCGGAGGGGGGGACATTTTTATTTAAGAGCAGTCAGCAGAGTCCAAAGCGTATTTGACACTTTGTAATCTGTGTGTGAATCCCTTTTCCAGCGTTTCGTCTTGTACTGCAATATGTAGACCTGGTTTAAAATGAAGTAAATCTGTTTGTCGCCTCCTGTAGCCCAGTTTTTTGATTGGTTATGTCTTGGGAAAATACTGTGTGTGGACTAGTTATGTCTGATAATATTCTCCATTCTCTATTACCACAGTCTGTATATATGGTGCAGACACAGCTCTTGAGATGATATTTGCATATCCTATTGCTTGATAATATGTTACTATGTCAATAACTCACAGATTAGTGAAAGTGTAACGTGAGGTTTTTACACAACCAAATAGCTAACTAACAATTTTATTGGCTAAAAAGTGCACATTTTTTAATTTTAACTCTATATAATTTATCCTGTTCAGCACATCACTCACAGCATGAAAATCAGATTGCTACAGTGATTATGTTGCCTATAGTGTCCAGATGTTCTATAAGTTGTTAATAGGTGATGCCTGGAGATGGCCCTCTGGTCTGCAGAATTGATTACGCAGAATTAAAGGGACACTATAGGCACCCAGACCACTTCAGCTACTTTAAGTGGTCTGGGTACAGTATCCCTATTGCACTTAGTGTTGCAGTATAAAACATATAGAGAAACTGCAATGTTTACATAGCAGAACTAAATCTGCCTTCAGTGTCTGTCTACCAGACAGCCACTGGGGGCGCTTCCTGCATCCAAACGGACCTTTGGTTCGGTATCTGACGGCCGTCCTTATGCTCTGCATAAGTCATGCTCTGCATAAGGACATAGAGTGTCCAATTTTTCCCTCGTCGTGGGGCAGAGGAGGAGGAGGAGGCGGCGCTGCAACCCAGGTAAGTAAGAAATGGTTTTAACCCTTTATTTACCTCTGGGGGGGGAGGCAGAGGGAGCTATAGTGCCAGGAATACAGCTT